GATACTTTTTATCGGTGGCTATGAAAACTAGTTGCTTCCTTTTTATTAAAATTGCTTGGAAAATACAGTGTTAGTTGAATTCAAGGAGAATATGCTAAGTTTAGTAAAATCTGTTGTTTTTTGTTGTTGTAGTACTTATTTTGGGAAATATTATTAAAGGAAATGCAGGCTGACTTTATTTAAATAAGTATATTAGCTATAATGAACTTTGCCTCATTTTCAGGAGCATAAGGTATAATTTGGGAACCTTTTGCAAGAATTTTCGAGTCCCCAAATAAAAACTTATGAATAAATGATATATATTTTTAAATAAAAAGAGAATCTGACATTGTCAACAATTGGATATAATGAAGAAAATAATTTTTATTTGGCCAAGCAGACTGTGCTATAACCAGATCTGGAAACAGGCCATGTTTTGGAGGTGATAAGACAGCAAAACTATATGAGCCTTTCCCAAAGGTCACCTTCATTCTTTGTCCTCTTTCTGCAGAATGAAAGCTTAACCTAATTCATGGCAAGGCTTTAGGAATCCCAATCTTGTATGCAAGGAAAATTTTGTGTGAGGGTGCATTTTTGTGAAAAAGATCAGCTTTTTTTTTTTTCATTTTAAAGATGTGAGGTACAATTTGAGATTAGGTATACAAGTGGTCATTGTACAGGTAATGTTTGGGCCTCCCTTTGGTCCCACTTCATCTGATTTGAGATCAGGTACCCTTATTGATGTTATGTGCCCAGACCCATAGCTTTTATCAGATTGCTAATAGGTGGTAAAATTTAAGAATCATTGGTTTAGGTACTTACTATGTTTGCTGGGTAGGGAGGGCAAAAGTGGAGGCGGTAAAAGAGTAAAGATTAGTTGTAACTGTAAGACTTTTTTGACAACACCATAAAATTCCATTTACACAATTACCTGTATATAACTGAAACAAAAATGTACAAAACTATTGATGTCCTCATAAAGTGTGGTACATCTTAACACTTTCTATTCTATTTCATTTTTATTTTTTATTTTTTATTTTTTGAGTTGGAGTCTCACTCTGTCGCCCAGACTGGAGTGCAGTGGCCGCTCCCGGCCACCGCAGCCTCGACCTGCTGGGCTCCGGCGATCCTTCCGCCTCAGCCTTCCGAGTAGCCGGAATTACAGGCATGCGCTACCACGCCCGGCTGATTTTTTGATTTATTGTAGAGATGAGGTCTCGCTGCCCAGGCGGGTCTCGAACCCGCAGGCTCAGGCAATCCACTCACCTCAGCCTCCCAAAGGCGCGGGATTACAGACTGAGCCACCGAGCTCGGCTTATTTCATTTTTAAAATATTAGTTGTAACTTGCTAAATTGATTTTTTTTCTTTTTTTTTTTGAGTCACAGTCTCACTCTGTTGCCCAGCCTGGAGTGCTTACGGCCACCACAGCCTCAACCTGCTGGGGTCAGGCAGTGCTTTTACCTCAATCTTCCAAGTAGCTGGAACTACAGGCGCGCTCTACCTTGCCTGGCTAATTTTTTGATTTATTGTAGAGATGAGGTCTTGCCAAGTCGCCCAGGCTGGTCTGGAACCTCTGGACTCAGGCAGTCCTCTCGCCTTGGCCTCCCAAAGTGCTGGGATTACATGCTTAAGCCACTGTGCCCGGTGCTAAATTGATTTTTAAACATTTTGGTGGGTGGTAGGCCCTGTTTTGAAAAACACTGATCTAGTGCATTATAGTTTACAAAACCCTTTCATTTACTCTCAATTTTCACAGCAGTTCCATGAGGCACATATGAGCTTCTTTTAATTAATTAATTAATTAACTTATTTTGAAATGAAGTCTCGCTATGTCACCCACGCTGGAGTGCAGTAGCTATTCACAGGTATGATCATAGCATACTGCAACCTTGAAATCAAGAGATCCTCCTCAGCCTCCTGAGTAGCTGAAACTACAGGCACATGCCATTATGCCTAGCAGAACTTTTTATTTTGAATTGGAGTCTCACTCTGTCACCCAGGTTGAAGTGCAGTGGCTGTGAGTGATTTATTGTATTGATTTATTGTAAAGATGAGGTCTTACCAAGTTGTCCAGGCTGGTCTTGAACCTGTGGGCTCAGGTAGTCCTCTCATCTCAGCCTCACAAAGTACTGAGATTATAAGCATGAGCCACTGTGCCCAGCCAGAACTATTTATTTTTATAGACAAGGAAGCTCAGGCCCAATAAGTGACTTGTTTAAGGTTGTACTGCCAATATATGGCAGAGTCAGAGTTTGAGCCTGCATCCTAGGTTTTTTTGTTTTTTGTTTTTTGAGTTGGAATCTCACTTTGTCACCCAGACTGGAATGCAGTGGCACGCTCCTGGCCACCACAGCCTCGACCTCCTGGACTCCGGCAATCCTTCTGCCTCAGCCTTCCAAGTAGCCAGAACTACAGGCGCGTCCTACCACACCCAGCTAAGTTTTGATTTATTGTAGAGATGAGGTCTCACCAAGTTGCCCAGGTGGGTTTCGAACCCTCAGGCTCAGGCAATCCACTCACCTCGACCTCTCTAAGTGCTGGGATTACAGGCTGAATCACCAAGCCTGGCTGTATTCTAGGTTTTGACTTCAGCTTCCCACTGCATATTTGCTTACACAATCCAAACTGTTTACTTTTCTCTTCTCAATTATAGGGAATAATACTAGCTAAGACTGTAATACCCCAATTAACATACCTACATTGTCCCAAATCTTGTCTTTTGTTATTTGGGAGTTCTTTCTTAGAAGTTATAGATTTTCCTATCAGTGTAACAGGTTCTTTCCTTTTGTTTTCTGCTCTGTCTTGAACCATTGGTTCTCAAGCCGGAATTTGCATCAGTTTCTTTTTTTTTTTTGAGTTGGAGTCTCACTTTGTTGCCCAGGTTAGAGGGCAGTGGCATGAAGCCTCAACCTGCTGGGCTCAGGTGATCCTTCCACCTCAGCCTTTCAAGTATCTGGAGCTACAGGCATGTGCTACCACGCCTAGCTAATTTTTTTTTTTTAATTGTAGAGACAAGGTCTCACTAATTTGCCCAGTTAGGCTCACGGGTCTCAACCCCGTGAGCTTAGCTAATCCTCTCAACTCCACTTCTCAAAGTGCTGGAATTACAGGTGTGAACCACTGTGCCCAGTTTGCATCAGTGTCAATCAACTGTGAAACTTTAAAATTTTTATCCCTCGGCCTCCAGTTATAATTTTTTTAAAAAAATTGCAATAGCTGGCCGAGTGCAGTGGCTCATGCCTATAATCCCAGCACTTTGGGAGTCCGAGGTGAGAGGATTGCCTGAGCCCACGAGTTCAAGACCAGCCTGGGCAACTTGACAAGACCTCATCTCTACAATAAATCAAGAAAAATTAACGGGGTGTGATGGCACATGCCTGTAGTTCCAGCTACTTGGAAGGCTGAGGTGGAACGATCGCCTGAGCCCAGCAGGTTGAGGCTGCGGTGGCCGTGAGCATACCACTGCACTCAAGTCTCAGCGACAAAGTGAGACTCCCACTCAAAAAAAAAATTGCAATAGCTTTAGGGGGTACAAAGTTTTTGGTCTGGTCTTTAAGTATACCCACTACCCCCACCTGTGCACATTGTACCTGATAGGTGGTTTTTCATCCCTCCGTCTTTTCCCACTCCCTTCTGAGTCTCCAGTGTCCATTATACCATTCTCTATGTCTTTGGAGATCCTTAGTTAGGTCCCACTTATAAGTGAGAACATACTGCTTTTGGTTTTCTCTTCCTGAGTTCACTTAGGATAATGTTCTCCAACTTCATCCAAGTTGCTGCAAACAACATTTTATTATTTTTGATAACTGAATAGTATTTCATAGTGTATATACCACATTTTCATTATCTAGCTACAATCAACAGATCTGGGGTAGAGTTTAGATATTGTGTATTTTGTGTGTGTGTGTGTGTGTTGGAGTCTCACTCTGTCACCCAGACTGGAGTGCAATGGCCACTCCTGGCCACTGCAGCCTCGACCTGCTGGGCCCAGGTGATCCTTCCGCGTCAGTCTTCCAAGTAGCTGGAACTACAGGCACGTGCTACCACGCTCGGCTAATTTTTAAAAAAATTTTATTGTGGAGATGAGGTCTCGCCAAGTTGCCCGGGCGGATCTCGAACCCGTGGGCTCAGGCAATCCACTCACCTCAGCCTCCCAAAGTGCGGGATTGCAGGCTGAGCCACCGAGCCGGCTTTATTGTGTATTTTTTTTTTTTAAGTTGGTGTCTCACTCTGTTGCCCAGACTGGAGTGCAGTGGCCGGGAGCCTTGACCTGCTGGGCTCCGGCGATCCTTCTGCCTCAGCCTTCCGAGTAGCCGGAATTACAGGCATGCGCTACCATACCCAGCTGATT